ATCAGAACTGATTCCAGGAGGATTAGCGAAGCACCGATTTCACATCACTGCTGATGTCATTGATACCACTGGAACTGAACATTTTATTGTAGCCTGATGTAAAAACATTTTTGCTAGACAATGTCAAACATTGAGAAGTTTTAATTTTTGTTATCAAACATTATGAAGCCAAAAAGAAAAGAAAAAAACAGAAATATACAAAGCTCTTCTGAGGCCTGGTAACAAGTCATAATTGGATTCAGGTGTGCAGAACCAGGGACCCATCCAAAACATGCGCTGCCTTCTAAGGGTTTGTGTGTCACTGACATCTAGTGGTCGGAGTGGATATAACAGTCGAATAAACACTCCGCTCGCTATATCTCCGCAAACTGCAAAATTCCTCGAATCACTTCAACATTGTAAACATTTATAGCATAATATGATGATATTGTAACACAAATACTGGTAAGGAAGTGATTTTGAGGGGGGAAGAAAAAAGTTTCATGGCCGCGGGTTTGAAGTCGTGACCTTTGCGTCGCAGGTTACCTGACGGGAAGTGAGGACTACTTCACTCACGAGCGTTGCTATGACATCGCTCCTCTGAACCTGACGCGCTGCGCACTGGACCTCAGGGACGGAGAGGAGGTGGCCGCCGCGTATAAAGGAGACTATTCCACTGAGCTGTTCAGTCAGAGAGCTGTCAGTGTCATCAAGAAACACAACTCCAGCAAGGTGATGCACACACACATCTTTTTTTTTTAAATTTAGTTTCCCTGCCTTGCATATGAAATATCCCCCCCCCCCCCCCTGTTGTCACAGCCACTGTTCCTGTACGTGGCGCTGCAGGCGGTTCATTCACCCCTGCAGGTACCGGAGCGTTACTTGGCCCCCTACAGTTTCATTGAGGACCGTCATCGCAGGCTGTACGCCGGCATGGTGTCGGCCATGGACGAGGCCGTGGGCAACATCAGCCTGGCTTTGCAGCAGGAAGGGCTTTGGGACAACACGGTCCTCGTGTTCTCCACAGGTACACAACCACACGCTAATCCACAGAACCAAACACAAATACACAGCACACTTTCTAGTAATTATCTGTTAAAACAAACAACAAAAACAGCTATTATTTTACTTTTACTTCACTGTCGTAGAGTTACATAACATAACTATCTGTAACCTTTACAACCTAAAGAGCCATTTTGCCCCCAGGACAGTCAAATAAAACTTGCAAATATTGCACGATTATTGAAAAAAAAAAAAAAAGAAGACAAATTTTAGACAAATATCTACTTTAGAAAAGTAGTAGAATAGATAGATAGATAGATAGATAGACCGGTTTTTCCCTTCTAGAGACTAAAATATTTGCATCTCTGCCAAAGAAAAGAACAAAAATCAAGCTGATCTTAACCTGTTCTTATCTTTAATACCCTGGTGTTCCACTAGAGGGCAGCATGTCGCTGTGCTTCTTGGGGCCAGTCAAAGTCCCTGGCCTTTTGACAGTTCTCCATCTGAAAGAAATTTATGAGAGAACATCATCTGGTCATCCAAACATGTAGCCGCTCACAGTTTTCCACATGTGGAACATCTAATGGTTAGCATCTGAAGTAGGCAACCACTTTGAGGGTTATTTTTAGTGGCGTTCATGCTTTTTAATGGCTAATTAGAAAACAGGAACAATGCTTTGATAGTGAAAACGTGAGGTTGGATGCAGTAGGTGGTCCCGTTTCATTGTTTCTTCCACGCATATGGTTGGCTCTGACAGCAGCAGCAGCGCCTCACTGCTGGTCGGAAACACTGCAAATGCTTACAGTCAAAAAAAAAACAACACACGTAGCAGTGTGTGGATAATCAGTGATGCAACCTTTTATATTTCATGAAACACTTCCCCTCTCCCCCGGTGAAAAGTTTTATCCATCTCCAAGGCTCCAAGGTCGCGCTGTTGTGCTTGGCTTCTGCGTGTCATGACTAACAGGAAGTAAATGAGCCCTGAACTCGCTCTGCCGTTTTACTGTAAGACGTCCGCCTCTTTCGGCGAGGGAGAGCCGCGGCCAAACCGGCGCGGAGGAAAAGAGCGAACAGGCCCGCAGAGCGCCAGAGCAGCTTGGAAAGGCATTAAGGAGTGAGATTTTCCAGAACAGTTTGACACAGGCTACTTCCTGGACTTGCATGACACCCTGCTACTGAAAGGGGATCCCTGGCTGGGGAAGCGTGTTTATACCGGACCCACGTAATGCGATGATGACAACCTGTGTGCTACAAAATAAATATAAAAAAAAAAACATCAGTATCGTCAAAATCAGAATCAGCATGTGAGTGAGTAAGTAAAATTTGTCTATATAGCGACATTACGGACATTAAAATCACAAATGTGTCACAAAGACCCAAACATAAAATCAAGAATATAAAAGGTAGCATAAATCAATTAATTGTGATAAATTGAAGTGAGATAATTTCCATTTTTTTTCTACTTCACAATAAAAACCAAAAAAAAAAAAATACTAATAAAACGCATCCAACTGTGTGGTTTTTAGCACAACATAAAAACTTAAAGAGGTGTGAAGACTTTTGTTTAGCCTTCGAAGCTGAAATCTGCTTTTCTTTTGACCAGATTTCTCTATTTTTCTCCGCCAGATAACGGAGGCCAGACGGTGTACGCTGGCAGCAACTGGCCGCTGCGTGGGAGGAAGCTGTCGCTGTGGGAGGGGGGCGTGCGGGCAGTGGGGTTCGTTGCTGGCCCGCTGCTGGAAAAACCCGGAACCGTCAGCCGGGAGCTCATCCACGTCTCCGACTGGCTGCCCACCCTGGTCGGCCTGGCGGGTGGCAGCACTGGCGGCACAAAGCCTCTGGACGGCTTCAACGTGTGGAAGACCATCAGGTGCTGCCCCTCTGTCCATGCGGACGCTGTGTCAACAGAGCTAATCGATTGAATTACTTTCGTAGCTGGATGGGTTTTTCCCCCCCGTGTTTTATGGAACTTTGTAAAGGAGCGATTACAGCGCGGAGGGGTCGCATGCGGCCGCTCGCAGACCACAGACGTACTTTCCGTGTGAGTTTGGCAAACTGTCAGCGAGTCCTGTCTGACCGAGACGCTGCAGCCCTGTGAAAAAGTATTTCCCCCGTTTTCAAAATTCCCTTGTTTTTGCTCCAAACCAGACATTAGCGACCCTTTTCATTTCAAGGAGCTGCGTTTGCCCTCGGCCTATTTTAGGGCCGAGAAACATATCGTGACATAAGACTTTCAAATCAGTCGACATCGATGATTTTGTTTTAAATGTCTGAAATTCTGCCAAATTGGTGCGTGGCCTTTGCTGTTTCATCCACATCGTCGTCGTTTATTTTTAAACAGTTATGAGCTGCGATGGGGAAACATGAACCTGCTGCTGCGCTAGTCAATCAACAGGTTGTTGCTAGGTAACCAAAGAGTGAGTGAGTTAGTTGATGACACCAGCCGTGCTTAGCTAGTTTTGAGAGGTTGATGAACTAAAGCCTTTCCTCTGCCCACATCTCCCAGAATCGGAGTTCAATAAAATTATTCAATATTCTTTCAGATGTATTATTTATCTATGTTGATCATGTGTCCTTCACGATATGTATTGTTATTGATTTATTTCGAGCAGACAATAAAAGTAAAAAACTGAGAGAGAAAAAACAGGACAAATAATTATGCTAACTGACATGCAGTCATGATCATTTATTGGGTCTCTGATGGACCGAATCAGCACACTGCCACGACAACGCCGTACATCTCCACTCGCCTCCAGGAGGCCGACCTGTCGGCTAACGGCAGGACAGGAACCGAGCAGCAGGCAGCAGAAGAGCCAGAGTTATTTTAGTTGTGTTATCAGAGCGTGTGGTGAACGCGAGGGGAGCGTTTTCTCGGCGGTGGACTGCGGTCAGAGGCTGGCAAACGGCAGCCAGCTGGTTCACATTTACAGATCCCAGCGGGGTTTTCACTGTGCATGAGTCAGACGTCACCATCCCTCTGTGTGTGTGTGTGTGCGTGTGTCCATGTGTTCAACAGTAACGCCCCCCTTTTCTTTTTTCTTTCCTTTTTTTTTTTTGCAGCAAAGGCTTCGCCTCGCCCAGACAGGAGCTGCTACACAACATCGACCCTTTGTATTCTGACCTCGCTCCATGTAAGTTCCTTCTTCCGTCCGGACCAATTATGAGGACCCATTGTCTGAACGGACTGTTATTTTTTTTTGGTCTAAAAAAACAAAGAAAAAAAACAAAACAAATCCATACATTTAAGAATGACAAAGTCAACTTTCTTTTCCATTTTATTTTAACATCCCTCTTTGGCCAGTAGGGAAGCACTTGGTCTTGGCTCCTTGATTGTTCGTTTTCTCCAATCTTCTAATTGTCTTGAGTTAAGGAGATTAAAAACACCTGCCTTACCTGAACAGCGTTAAAAAAAAAAACCCTTAATACTGTGGGCAACTTAAAAACGCAAAGTATGAATTAAAAAAATTCAGGTCTTTGGGGGTTTATAGAAGCCCTGATCCTCTTTCAACAAATATATTTTTTTTGCAGAGCTGAGAAAAATGTTTCCCTAAGGGGAGATTTAAAAAAAAAAAGTATGTGTTGTGCACACCTATGCTGAATATATCGATTATTGGAAACATTGACATAAGGGTCCCATTTTCCTACTTGCACACAAGTACTTTCCCTGCTAGAAGCCACAACAATTACGAAGCAATAAACAGATTTTTTCCACAGACTTCTTTTGTTTTTTCCCTTTAAACTTTAATTCTAAGCTAAAAGAGTTCATGAATTTGAGGAAAGGGTAAACATCTTGCTAAACACAAGCTGCAGCCTAGGGCTGCTTTAGTCGCTCAGATGTTTGTTGTTTTGACGTCGTTGTTAATTTTATCGCCTCCTGCTGTCGTATCGCAGGTATTACTTTGTCATGTTTTTTAATTGATTGTGCAAATATTTTTCACAACAAAGGGAAAAAAATGTTTTAAAAACGTAATCATAGTGTAGCTGAGGCCTAATGTGAGATCAACAACCTTATAATGAGAGTAGTTTTGTATTAGCAGGTACATGCTAATAGCTCCAGGCATGCTAGCCTAGCTAGCCTCAGGGATGTGAAAAACTCAGCAAAAAAACAAAAAACAAAAAAAAAAACAATTTGTTGAATGAGAACAGTGTTCCCATGACTGCCTACATTTTTATTCAAATTTGCCACACTCTAGTCAAAGGTAATGTTAAGTCATAAAGACCGTAGAATTGTCTTTATCCACTGTAGAGATGATTAAAGTAGCATTAGCCAAACTTTCCAAAGCGATTAACATTTGGGTAGATTATGATTTAAAGCTTATATAAATGAGATTTAGTACTTGACTTGCTATATTAAGACACCCTAAAATTGGACCTCGTCTAAAATCAACAGTAGAAAAAGCTAAATGCTAGCTAAACCCCACAGCTTATGCAGTTACAAAATTAGACATTTACATGCGTCTGTGTGCTGATTGATGATTTCTTTATTTGTTTTTATATGGGAAAATGAAGGGCTGAGGTTATGTTGTACTTAACAGTAATGCAGTTTGGTGCAAAATACACATAGGATATAAATTAATTGAGGTAATGTTTTTTTTTTATAAAATTTTTTAAAAGTGGGATAATTTAGGTTAAAAAAAAGAGCAATTTTGAGACATGAGCTATTCTGCGTTTGGTGACCAGATTATTTATTCATAGCCCTTCACAAATTCCTAACTACCAAGTTTTCTTTGGAGTCTGATTGCAATGTACCCATGAAAAATCATCTTTAAACAACTGGTTTGTTCTCATGCGGCTGTAAAAACAGCCCAGCGGCGATCTACATCACAGTGAATATGACAGGTATCATGATTCTAAAGAATATATCCCTGCTGCGCTGTAAATCCCGCCGCTTGACTAGGTTTCGTCAGGTTGCTGGATTCCGTGGAGTACAGAAATTTACGGCCTCTAATTTACCTACCATGAGCATCCCCGAACTGTGGGAGAATACTTCGCTGGTCCGTTTCAAGCTGTCCAAGTCGTGATTCATCTCCGGGCGACGGCCAGCGGCTTGATAAAGCCGAGAAGATGGAAACCTCCTGTCGCGTCTTTTCCCCTCCCATGTTCGCGCTGTGCGGGATGCGTGTTTCTCCTCGTCCGCCGGTGTACGTCTGCTGTTTTCTTTCCTCCCAGCATGGGCAGGAATATCAAAGGAACTTTGTTTGAGTTTTGGATTCGCGCAGCAGATCCCAAAGCATGTCGTTGTGTAATATTAGACAAAGCCTTTTTCCAGTGCACAAAAATATGTTTGCTCTAAGCTTGTTTGTAGATTAGAGGATGTTCGGTGTGTTTGTGGACTGTATTTTTGTCACAGTACAACAACAAAGAAAACTTCAGTATTTAAGAAAAGACCAGGAAACGTTGGGCAGAATGATACAGTAGAGTCCTGGTTTTTCACAGGAATAAAGTTGTGAGGTTTCAATAAGGATGAGTCTCCTACGGGAAGTTGCAATGTTGCGATCGCAAATATTAACGCAAATTCACTCATCGTTCGCAAATTCTGCGCTGACTTGCTGTTTTTACCAGTCATCGCACGCTTCCGCAAATCTGACCAGTCATATACCTTAATGTCTGCTGTATTTCCTTCTTTTCTGACCAATCACTGCAACTCAGCTGAATTTTGACCAATGCCATTAGCCCCCTTGGTGACACTTTATTTGACTGGATGTGCATAAACCTGACACGGCACTCGTCATGAACATGAAGGAGTCTTTGTGAATGTTTACGACTGTTGTCACGAAGTGTCATTTGGGACTTTTAATGCAAAGTTGATTCTATTAATGAACAGTTAATGTAAGTTTTACTGCAACTTTGCATAAACACGTAATTATTTAGCAAATAATGCTAAGTTGACACTTTCAATGCACTTGCAATGCAACTTTTAATGCAAACGTGTATTAAAAGTGGAATTATTTACCAAACAGTCAAACATTCATGAAGACCACTTCAGATAAAGTGTTACTGCCCCCTTTTCATTTAACTTCCTGTTTCACAGTGACTCTTGAAAAATCAAACCTGCAAGATGAAAGCATGTGTGATGCTAAATGGTTTCCTTTGTTTTTTTTTTTTTTTTTTTTTTTTTTTGCATCAACTATTTTGAGAAGTTCTATAGGATTTGCTTGTACTGTGTTATGTACTGGTTCATACTAACATCCATGAATATAAATATGGAATATTTCTTTGGTACTTTGACAAACTCCTCAGGAGATGGTTTTATTTCTTTTAAGGTGCTACTTCAAAAAGGTACTTAGAATGTTATTTGTACTTTGCATATTAACTATGTTAAAATCCTGTCTTTTTTGGGGGGAAGGTAATGTGCAGCAATTTCAACTTTTGTTGTGAGACCACGTAATAGCATAAATAAAGCTTTAAAAAATGTGCAAGTTTTTCTTAAGACTTCCGCAACATCAGTAGCTTTAGGTCGCCATAAAAAAAACAAAAAACGTCGCAGTTACTCCAAGAAGAAGCCGAACGACCCACGGTTACTTCACAGCTCAGTATTGACTACAAATGCTTGCCCCGCTGTTCAGATTTTTTTTTTTTTTGCAAAGAAACAATGTTTGAAAACCGTGTATTCTTGTCCTCCATCTGTTACATAACGTCCAAGTGAAATACACAGAAGTTTGTGATGAAAACTAAATCCTTCTGCATCTGGTTCACTATCAGAGGATGTCTTGTTCTTGTTTATGAGAGAAACGATTATTTAAAAGAGATACATGTTTCATCTTCACACTTTGTTAGAGCCTCTTCTTGTTGCTATTCAGTCATAACGTTACTGAAGTTGTGATTAGTCATTGTTATCAGCCAGCAGTGGTGAATGCTAGTTTTTAGAGCTGGGTGTATCATGTGTTGTTTAACCTCTGATTGTAGGGAGGATTCCTGGAAGAGGGTCATGTGACTGAGGACACACTGGAGACACAGAGGGGTGGACTCCTGCCTTAACCACTTAATAATTTGTGAACCCAACCACCACCTCCATCTCGGAGGGCTTAATGGGACTCTGGTCTGTGGCAGCTATTTCTGACTTTGAGGTGAAGACTGGACCTTCGACATTTAAAAATACCATGCTTTTTTTCTTTATTACCTTTTTTGTTATTCTGAAATCTGATGTGCCACAGTAGGGGTGTAATTGGTCAGTGGAGGAACAGATGTGAACTACAAAATCAGTTTTGCCAAAAAAAAAAAAAAAAGTAGATTTTTAGCCAAGTTTGTAACAGATGCGTTACAATGTTGCTGTGAAAAAACTTTGACATTCAGATCAGAACAAAGGCTGGTTGATTCTTTTATTAGGATTTTAAGGACAACTCAGTCATGTGTATTTTGTCTATTTTTTTCTTTACTTGTACACTAAAGCGTCACTAATTTGAATCTAAATTTTAGTGTCACCAAAATACATGGCGTTGCTATAATTTGAAAGCTTTTATTTAAGCTCTATCACATAAAACATTTTATTTAGATAAAACATATATTTTAAATCTTTCTATCCAATCTTGAGTTCTGGTAGAAAAATTTAGGACTGGAACTCTGGATAATTTTACCCTGGAACATTCTGGACCGTGGGAATCTGGAGGAAAGTTAATACTTAATCTGGCTAGCTACTAGCTGTCTAGTAGCTAGTAGTAGCTACTGGCTACTAGCTGTAGCTAGCTACTAGCTGACATGAGGCAACTGAACATTCTGGAATGTGGGAGCCTTGAGGAAAGCTAATAGCGAGCTAGTCAAACTGAAGCCCCTCTGCTAGTTGGGCTTCAGTTAGTTGCCTCATTAAAGATGTTTTCCTTGTTTATCCAAAATGAATGTTGGACGCTGGCGAAGCTAATTGAGGTGAAGATGTAGCAGACACATCCAGGGTGTACCCCACCTCGGCATTCCACACGCTGGCTGCTGGAACAGGCTCCCACGGGTACAGGAAGTAGATGGTGATGGTTTGTGCATTGCTTAACGGTATGAGTCCCATGGTTTTAGCCCTTAACTTGCAATCATTGTAACATCCTTTGTGACAGCTTTATGAACCAGAGCGCAGTGTTTTTAATATGTGGTGGCGAGTCTCTTCCTGTGACCTCAGCTCTGCGTTGCGGATTGTAATTTGAACAAC